ATTGTGGTTTTGATTTGCATTTCCCTGATTACTAGTGATCTTGAACATTTTTTCATGTGCCTGTTGGCCATTTGGATTTCCTCTTTTGAAAAATGTCTATTGAGGTCCTTGGCCCATCTCTTAAGTGGGTTGTTTGTTTTGTTGTTGTGGAGTTTCTTGATCTCTTTGTAGATTCTGGTTATTAACCCTTTATCTGTAGCATAGTTTACAAATATTTTTCCCATTCTGTTGCTTGACTCTTCACTTTCCTGACTGTTTCTTTTGCAGTACAGAAACTTCTCCGTTTGATTCAATCCCAATAGTTAATTTTGGCTTTGAATGCCTGTGCCTCCGGGGTCTTTTCCAAGAAGTCTTTGCTGGTACCAATATCATTCAGGGTTTCTCCAATGTTCTCTAATAATTTGATGGTGTCAGGTCATAGATTTAAGTCTTTAATCCATGTTGAGTGAATTTTTGTGTAAGGCGAAAGGTAGGGGTCTTGCTTCATGATTCTGCACGTGCAAATCCAGTTTTCCCAGCACCATTTATTGAATAGTCCTTGCTCCGGGAATTGGTTTTGGATCCTTGATCAAATATAAGTTGGCTTTAGATGTTTGGGTTGATTTCTGGTGTTTTTATTCTGTTCCATTGGTCTATCCATCTGTTTCTGTACCAGTACCATGCTGTTTTGATTACAACTGCCCTGTAGTATGTCCTGAAATCTTGTACTGTGATGCCTCTGGCTTTGTTTTTGTTGTACAAAATTGTTTTAGCTATTTGAGGTCTCCTGCATCTCCATATGAATTTCAGCATCATTTTTTCTAGATCTGAGAAGAATGTCTTTGGTATTTTTATTGGTATTGCATTGAATCTATAAATTGCTTTTTAGAGAATGGGCATTTTGATGATGTTGATTCTTCCAATCCATGAGCATGGAAGATTTTTCCATTTTTTTGTATCCTCTTGTGGGGAGCAACTCGGACTATACTGTTACTGGAATTAAGACTTATTCTATGCATCTGCTCTCCCACAATGTGGCGCTGGAAGAGGAGCATACAGCTTCTACCCAGCTGCCTCTCACCAACTTGACAAGCTGCAAGAGCCGCTCCTGATTGGAGGAGAGCGGCGCGCTCGGCGTGTGGGTAGCATAATGGTGCCGTGACTCGGATATGAAGCCTAGGCAGGGTTTAGTGTCGTTCCTCCACGAAGAGGGGGAGCAACACCTCTTCTATTTCTTTCTTTAAGATTTTGTAATTCTCATCGTAGAGATCTTTAACGTCCTTGGTTAAGTTTATTCCAAGGTATTTGATTGTTTTTGTAGCTATTGTGAATGGGATTGATCTTAGCAGTTGTTTTTCAGCCATGGCATAAGAGCAATGTCCTTTCAAAGATAAACCAGGAAGTCTGTGGCCTCCTTCAGAATGTGGAAAAGGCTGCAGTTTCCAAAGTGACAATCCATTTTACAATCAAGCTACATACTTACCTTGAAATCAATATGAGTAGATGAAGACAAAAATGTTAAATGTAGTTTATGGAATTATAAATTATTATTTTTGTTAACCTTTAATTGCTCTGCATATTTTACCAAACATACCATAGATTCTGAAAAATTAAGACAAACAGTTGCTGTGTTCAGTGCTTTTGGATATTATTGCCTGCTACAAATGCAACAATAAGGTAGGCAAGCTAAACTATAGGATCTGATGTATACTTAGGGATTCTCTTTGCTCAATATGTATGTGTATGATGTATACACACACACAACTGTTGATCTTCACAATAAGGTAAAGTATTCTTACATGAATAATGAATATGAGTGGCTAACATCTCTGAAAAAGCTTTTCATCTCTGATGAACAATGTAGAATGTTAATGCTATTCTGCCTCATATTTAGAAGCCAGACTTTTTGGGTTATATCAAGAGGTCCTTCCTAATTTCTAACTTGGCAGAAGCATACTATTGTGCCTTCAATAACAAATGAAGAACACCTGTTCACCATTATTTATATGCAGGTATCCTTTCAAAAGCTGAAGTGCCTCCCTCAACCCTCCTATTCCACTTTCCTTCCTGTTTATTGTTCACCCTTGGGCCTTCTCCAGTTTTATTTATTTCACTTGTCCCTGCAAGGCTCTAAGCAGAATGCAACTCCCTGATAGGGGATTCACCAGAGTGACCTGAGATGCACGGATAATGCCTCCAAAACAGACTCCTGTGAACGCTCCAATATCATCTGTGAGTAGGGGCACCTCTGAAGCATTAGGCAGATGGTCTCTTCCAGAGGCAGTGCTGCTACTACAGAATTCCAGGTGGGATCAAAGAATCTGATACCTTTTTAGTATCTGCCAGTTTACATAAAATTTGTTTAAATATTAAATGGACCTTTACCATTCATTCCAATAGTGGAATTGATGTAAGTGTATAGAATGAAATTTAAAATATCACTTTGTTACTTTTCTCAGTCTACCCAGTATTCTTGGTAGACTGTATTGCTTCGATATTCTTCTTCAGTTCCCCTATTCTTGGTAATTTTGCTGTGTTTTCTTAACCATATATGTTTCTCTTAGCACCCCCCAATCATCCTAAATCCTTTTTGAAATCCATGTTTTCCCACAGTCATTTATCTTCCTATAGTCTTGCTATAATTTCTTTCCTACTTACTTCATTTTCTAATCCCCTTTATTTTGATCATGGTTGTCATTAATTATTATTAACTGAGTACCTAAAGGGTTCATAGCATTATGTTTGCTTCCCAGTCTTCTCCATTTATTATCTATGATGTAGCAGATAGATAGCCTGTGACATAATATTGACAGTCAATTACAGTTCACCCTCTCCTTGCCCTCCTACTACTTAATTAATTGTCCCTTTCAAGAGGAGTATTAGCAAGGAAGGGAGGAACTCGGTAACTACTATCACTTCTACATCTGATCTTGGTCACTGAACGTGCTTTGAATGTACAGGAGTTCCTCCATTGAGCTTTAATGGGTGCTGTGCTGATACAGTTCCTGAACACAAAAGTAAAAAGAATCTGGGAAAATACATCTATTGTCTCAACAGCACTTCTTTCCAACTTGGGAGACACTGAAGGGGTGATTCTTTCCCCCTAGCCTCTGCCTAAACTTATCTAACTAAATTGCACACTCTCAAGTTGGTTGACTATATTCTTTTTCATATATTGTTGTATCTACAGTTGCATTTTCTTATCTCTCCATATAGATTGTAGGCCATTTGCATTTCTTTGACTACATTTAATATGGTGTGTGCTTTTAGAAGGCACTTAATTAAAATTTATTGAATTAGCATAAGTCAGCTCCTTTTAGAATAAGCTACGTGGAAGAAAACAGGAAATAATCATTTCTAGTTCTGTGTATTCAGTCTAAGAAAATGAATTCTTTGAAGAGTGAGGTCTCAGGAATCTGCCTGTTTCTTGACTTCATAGCTAGATGTGATTTTCAGAAATAGCTTTCCCTTTCCTCTCTAGCTGAGAAAGAATATATGCTGTAAATGGAGACATCATGGCTGTGCAACACACCTGGGTATACAGCACATGGGATTGTCACAGAGAGTGACAAGAGAGGTACTTATGGAGTTATCTGACAGTCTGAGGCTCAGATCATACAGATCTGCTCTCTCGGCAGACTACAAGGCCATAACATAACTGAGAGGCCATAAAAGAGCTTCTGATAATTATTTGTCCATTTGAGCTCACTAAATTTAGGAGCATCCTGACCCCCTAAACTCTCTTGGAATCTCTCCATTTATCCATAGAACAGATTTTGATCTGCGAGAATCTACTTCTCAGAATCCGTTCTGTTTTGGTATCAGTGAAAGGTGAGTCCAGATAAACTGTTATGTGAATCATCCCTAAAAAATAAGATAGTATCACCTGCCTCCAAGAAACTCCCATTCTGACTCTGAGTCCAGAGCACATTCATGGAGTTTCACAGATGATACCAAACTGGAGGGAGCCCCTCAGAATGAATCACCACTTAGAGTCAGCATCATAAAATTACAGAATACAAAGCGCACTCACAAATAACCCATTTCTGTTATGGCACTAGGAAAATTCAGGGCTTGGACTTCTAGCAAATGATTTCATCTTATTGAGCCTTAGTTCCTTCATCAATAAAATCAATAAGTGGATATTAGACTAGATTTTAGATTTGGATCCTACCAATTCTACAGTTCCATGATTAGGATTTCTAATTTAAATTTAATAATCTCTTTCATTCCTAGGAACCTATTCTAAAGAAATGACTCAAAAATGTATACAGGCCGGCGCCGCGGCTCACTTGGCTAATCCTCCGCCTGCAGTGCCAGCACCCTGGGTTCTAGTCATGGTTAGGGCGCTGGATTCTGTCCCAGTTGCTCCTCTTCCAGTCCAACTCTCTGCTGTGGCCCAGGAAGGCAGTGGAGAATGGCCCAAGTGCTTGGGCCCTGCACCCGCATGGAGACCAGGAAGAAGCACCTGGCTCCTGGCTTCAGATTGGCGCAGCGCGCTGGCCATAGCGACCATTTAGGGGGTGAATCAATGGAAAAGGAAGACCTTTCTCTCTGTCTCTCTCTCTCTCACTGTCTAACTCTGCCTGTCAAAAAAAAAAATGTATACAAAGGTACATTGCTCATAAGAAAAAAATCTAGGAAAGGCTAAACTTATATTTAACAATAAAGGATGACTACATTATTTCTGATACATCCAAATAGTGTGATTTATTCAGCTATTTAAAAACATTTTCAAAGAATATGTAATATCATTGTGTACTTAACTAATAAGTCTTTCGTTGAATAAAAGGCAATATTCAAAATTATCAAGGGCTTTTAGTGTGTAAAGAGATATATCAAAAGGTTTGTATAGATTATTTATGACAGTTGAATTATGATGGCTTATAATGTCATTTCATAGACATCTTTTCGATTTCTCTACAATAAACATGTAATGTTATTTTTTTAGTGATGAAATGGCTAATGAGTGTTACTTTTTATTAAGTTAAATAAACCATGTTTTCTAAGGATAAATCCAGAATGTAATTTATAATTATAAATTTTAAAGAAATGAAGGGTACAAAAACAGAAGTTTGGGAATGCTCTTGTATAAATCAGTAGGGAAAAATGATTCAAAGTTCACATTAGGTTATCTGTAGGATATATAACTATCAATTTCATAGTTCTATTTAAAGCTAGTTTTCTGTGATGTGTCAGTAGTGGGAAAATGTGAAGACATCCTTATTTACAGTTAATGCAACAAAGAGCACCTGTTTTGAAAACATCTTAAAGGTGGGGGCCATCATTGTGGCACAGTGCAAAGCCTGTGACTGCAGCATCCCATAAGGGCACCAGTTCATGTCTCAGCTGCTCCACTTCCAATCCAGCTTCCTGCTAATGGCCTGGGAGAAGCAGCAGCAGATGCCCCAAGTGTTTGGGCCCCTGCCACCCATGTAGGAGACCCAGATGAAGCTCCTGGCTCCTAGTTTTGGCTTGGTCCAGAGCTGGCTTTTTCGGCCATCTAGGGAGCAAACTACTGAACAGAAGATCTCTCTCTCTCTCTCTCTCTCTCTTTCTTGTTGTCTTTCCCTCTCTCTCTCTGTAACTATGATTTTCAAAATAAATAAATCTTTTAAAACACTTCTGAAAGGCAAAACAGAAAATCTTGATACTGATGTATATAAAATGAGATGGCTTACAAGAGCCTTGTTCATTAACTGAAATTTTCATGAATAGAATAGATACTAATCCGGTTAATATTTTTAGGTCAGCTTCTCAAAGTGGCCTAGGAAATAGGTGCTTGCAAAAATTATCCAGTAGATCTCAATCTCTTTGTATCGCTATTAAGTTTTCTTATGTAATATAAACCAGCACTCTACCAATTAAGCACTTTCTGTAGAATTTTTAAAAAAAAATAACAATTTTAAAATGTGACCTAAAATGCATTTGTAGAAGTTCAGATTGGTTGGTCATGATTGAGTTTCATTCATGTTGGCAGCCAGTGTTTTTTGTAGCTGTGCTGGTGCTGATTCATTCAAGGTAGTGACCCCTGAGCCCATGTTGTTACCTTGAGTTTGTGGGAAATTAGGTGCTCTCACATCCAAAGAGGGAGCAGAGAACTAAATAACCTCATGAGCTCCCTCCCACTCCTATGGGACCAGAGCTTAACAAATCCACTGTCTGGGGTATACTCTGAAGTATTATCACTGATGTTGAAAAAAGATTTCTGTCTTGGTGATTGGGTTCTTCCTATGAAATGAAGGGGATCACATCAGCACAGAGTTTGTTACAAATTTTTTTCACAGTGAGAGAGAAGTTGGTCTTAACATTTGCAAGATAGGAGTTAAAACTTTGTGAAACCAAATATACTGACATCACATTCCCCAATGTTTATATTGCCAATCACATTAAACACCCTGGTACTAGTATACATCAATTAGATAAATGGTAGGCTCTTAAATTTACAAAATGAAAAACATATAGATACCTGTAATCATCATATAACCAATGAGAAGAAGAAAAATATAAGGTAAAGGCTATGAAAGAAATGAATACAAGCTGTGGAAGAGTCTAGCCAGAGAGCCACATGCAAGCATACTTATGAATTATTCAGATTGTGGTTGAGTCTTTCCTGCATCAGCTGTACTGAAGAGGATTAGGGAGTGCTAATTTTCCAGTGTAGCTCCTCCTTGCCTTTTTGCCTGTTCTGCCTCACACATTTTATAGGATTGTATCATCATGAGTCACAACACTTAAGGATTTTTCAGGGCTGTAGCAGTGCCAAAGCTATTTTAATAATCTCAGCTGATTTGGTGTAGGGCTTTTCTTTTCTTTCTTTCTTTTTTTTTTTTTTAAATGATAGAGAACTAATGCAATGTACAACATTTCTTTTATTCTTCCTGGTAATTTCTGACAATGAAAGGAGTTTGGTTTGGATTTGGAGTTCTTTGTTTCCTGCCATGGGCTTTCTTAACCCCTGGGGGTGCCTCTTTGAGCTATAGTCTTCAAAGAGATTTTAAAGCTATTTTTTTAATGCAGTTGACTTCAGTGTCAGGTAATTTCCTGAATTAGATGACTGTGGAGAAAAGCAGCTAAAGCTATATATCAATGAATAGTTTACTCGTTATAGATCAAGGTGACCTTTTAAAGGCTGCTGTTAGTTGAATATTAGTAAATCATTAAAAATGTGATCTATGTCTATAATTTCTATTCCAAAACCCTTTATGATTCTTTATATTCCATTTTAAAGTTTAAAAACATCACTAATAAATGACATATAGGGCAGTTGTTAAAGAATCCAGTGTAAACACTGCAGGGGACTACTTAATGTGTTTTTCTTTCATATTTAAAGACAACAGTAATTACCGAATTTAACACTCTTCTCATGGTCTGTTTTGTACTGGGAGTCACCCCTAGATGGCTGTAGGTGGGAGCAAGCAGCCCTAGCTGTTTGTCTAGAATGGTCACTGTATTTAAGCTGTGTCATTACCCAGATGGTTGCACAGGCTGGGCAGGTGTGCATGGTGGGAAGGAAGGGCAGTGCTGATGTGAGGGGAAGCTCTTGTCTCCTGGGTCCCCACTGCCTTTTCTTAAAGCACTGGGAATAAACTGAAGGTGAGACCTTACTTCTTAATGAGTTAGTCATTGATGTGGGGAGTCCCACACCAATGATTGTTCAGAGTTGGTACTGTGCCAATGCTAAGAACCCTACCCTTAATATAGAGCTCCCAAATATAGTTTGGCTGATTCTAGTGGGCTATACCACCGCAGAGCCACATCAATGATCAATTTCAATGGAACTGAAATTCAATCTGTTTAAATAACATAAGGGCTCTGATATAAAGAAAATAAAGAATTTGACTTCCCACATCTAAGCTGTGATTAGAAGCTTGCTCCAGAAAAAAAAATGCTTTTAGACTAGGCTTTTATCCACTAATGTACTGTTTTCAGCATCTGTGTTTACTGAATAATTTAATATAGTTTTTAAAAATGGTTTTAAAGGGGCTGTGGGTTATTTCCTATTGCTTCTATATAACTGGTATTCAAAAATATTTAGTTGGTAGAAGTCAGAGATGATCAGTATTTCAAGAGATTAGTGGTGGTTTAAAATGCATAGTCTTTTCATTAGGAACTTTAAATGCTTTGGAGACCTTTTATTCTTTTACCTCTGTTCTTTTTTTTTCTTGCTCACGAAGTTGAGTCAGCAAGAGAAACATATTCAAATTAGGCTTGTCATACAGAAAAAAAAAATCTGACTTTGTCAGGGTGGGTGGAGGGAAAAAGCAACTTTTTGTCAGTCTTTTGTATTTCAGCAGCTGGATTCATTGCTACCATGGTAACAGACCACATGATGAGGTGTATTAGATTGCTGTGTGTTGAGCACAAGGGGAAGAATGAACACAGCTTTTTATTGAAGTTAAAGGTTACTTTGGAGTTTCTTCTATGGAAATGTGTAAGGTCAAATACTATAGCATTCAGCTTATGTAGTGCATCAGAGGAGGAATTAGGGGCATGTTGGTGTATTTAACTGCAAAACCAGGTAAGGTACAATTCAATCTATGAAACTGAACTCTTTACTTCTTCTGTTGCGGTGCTATAACTTGCTGGGTGGAATTTCACGGTCACCCCACCCCCACCAAACATGGGCACAGGACAGTTTTCTTCTGCTTGCTCCCCAACTCCTCCTCCTCCTCCGAATTCCTGTGTTTTTGATTGCAAAGTCTAAAACGTTGTGAATTGTTCTAGTTCTGTGGTAGTGAGTGTGTATGTGTGCGTAAGTCCAAGAAAGAAAACTGGAGAAGAGGTAATAAGAATACGGTAATTAGTGTTTTCAGATCAGTATGGAACTGAGCAAAGTGTGTCCTTGTTTTGTTCTTCGGAAATTGTCCCTTTACTCAAAGGACACTTTATTAGTGGCATTAATCCAAAGCTACTTGTCCCTCATACTAAATTAAGCAGTAAGACAAAGTTCTCCTGTAGGGTATTTTGTCTATTGAATGCGGGCTCCCCCCTACCTTCATATTACTGCTAGCTTCCTCCAGCTTGAATAGTTCCATTTAATATATTATTTTTCCAACACCCTGTATTTCTAGGAGTATTCTATTCTTTTCAGCATTGTGGCTGTTAAGTGTATTAGAGAATTTAAAAATAGAAATAAACACAAGATGGGTGTGCAGAATGAACTCCTTGGCTTGGAGGCTGTAAGATCCAAATGTAAACAACTCCGTGCAGCCTGGTGAGGCATCAGTTCCCAGAGCTCAGGGGCCTCCTCCCGCGGTGTTTACATAGCACCCTGGCAGCTTGCATGAAAGGGTGAGGCTTTGAAACACACAGAGCAAGTCAAAGAAGAAGAGGGAAATGTCTTTATGAATAACTTATTTTGACTTCTTGTTCGTGTTGTCTACTGATGCTTGGTGTTTGACTTTCTCTCAAGATGCTAGGATTTACCTTAATTTTCAGCCAACTCTCCCCTCTGAAAACAGAGTTTTCTGCAGCTTTTCGAGTCAAAATCTAACTAAATAGTGGCAAAGCCTCACTGTTATTCTAGTGTATTTGCTGTGGACCTGCAGGGCTGTCAGGTCAGAAAATCTTATCAACATACTTTCTTGGTGGGCTCAGGTCAATTGTATGCCACCAGTTGGCACTGATGAGGCTAAAAGCAGTAAATTATCCCAAGTTGGTTTTATACCATGCTTTCTTCAAAAAGGGAATCTTAGATTTTGTTGTGCTGTTTAAGCTTTGGTCTTTATTGCTGTTTCCCTAGTCTCTCTAGTTTTCGCATGTCCAAGCCATATTCTAGGTTAAGCTCGGAATTATAAACATTACCCGAGACAGTTTTTTCATGATTTCAGATAAAGAGAGCTGTGTCCATGATAACAAATACCAGAAGCCTTGTAACACCTAACATTTGTAAAATGCCATGGTTGTATCTGAATTCATACTTTTGTTTTTCTCTTTGTAGTGTTGAATGTAGAATGAGCTGTGAGTATGTCCTCCAAAGCATAAAACATTTTCAAAAGCATAACTTGGTATTACTTATTCTTTTGGAATTTCCCCAAAACTGATTGAAAATAGTGCCTGGTAAAATATTTTAAAGTGTAAAATTTTAAAAACTTAATGATATCTGAGGTGGAAAGTGGTCTGTTATTAAAGAATAAAAGAAAGACGAAAGAAAACAGAAAGAATCAGAGGGCACAAGAAAAAAAAAGATAGACAAAAAGTAAGATAAAAATGTAAATGATCTCTTACCAAAGTTTGCTTCTTTGCCTTCGGTGCAGAAAGGAGTTGAATCTCTGTATATCAGAGAAGAGAGAGAGAGAGAAGATAGCGTGAATAAGGTTAAATTATTTTAAAATGTTATCAATTCACTATTACATATTTTAAATGATAAGGCAAAGATTGCTCCTTTCTATTAATTGAATTGGTATTATATAATGGTAGTATTTATTATAAAAAATAATATTTAAATAGTTATATATATTATATATATTATATATAATGTATATGTATAATATATATTATATATAATATAATATAATATATATATTATATATAATATATATAACCATTTAATCTATATTCCTATAGATAAATTTCTTTCATTCCTTACTGTAGCCAAATTAACAGACAGCTTAGACATTAGAGCTGAGGTGTGCAAAACGTAGTATATTCCCAAATTGCTGAGGTCTCTGTTCACCTGACACTAGGCCACACACACGCATTCCTGGAGCTACTGTAACTGTGAACTGTTAAGTCATAAGATAGAAACTCCTTTTTTTTTTTTTTTTTTTTTTTTTGTTTGGACAGGCAGTGTTAGAGAAAGAGACAGAGAGAAAGGTCTTCCTTTTCCATTGGTTTTACCCCCCAAATGGTCGCTACGGCCGATGCGCTGCGCCAATCTGAAGCCAGGAGCCAGGTGCTTCCTCCTGGTCTCCCATGCGGGTGCAGGGCCCAAGTACTTGGGCCGTCCTCCACTGCCTTCCCGAGCCACAGCAGAGAGCTGGATTGGAAGAGGAGCAACCGGGACAGAATCCGGTGCCCTGACTGGGACTAGAACCCGGGGTGCTGGCGCCGCAGGCAGAGGATTAGCCTAGTGAGCCGCGGCTCCAGCCAAAACTCTTTTTTAGAGCTATTTCACTACCTGTATTCTTAAGACTCAACATTTACTTTTTGTGTACTTACTTTAAATTAAATATTTTGCCAATATCTTCACATTAAGTGATTTTTTGACAATACTTGTTTAAAACCACTTTGTTGTTGATTTTGATTTTGATTGGTAGTGCTTATTAACATTTTAACTTTAGAGCTCCCTAGACTCCCAAAGGGCTAATTATTTGCAAACATTTACCTCTATTAAAGAGATAGATTTTTGTAGAGTCATAATGAAGAATTGTATCGACTAATAGAGCCTTTTATAGGAAATTAATAAATTTTATATTACAAGAAAACACTTGAAAAATAAATGATGAATAGGCCAATGATTGGTGATTAAATGTCCAGTTAGATATTATCTTCTTAGTGTTATTTTTGAACTTATTTCATTAAAGTTGATTTTATTATTAATCACCATGTAAATTTTGTATGAAAAGGAGTGGACTCTCTTTTTTAAAAATTTTTAAAGTTTTAAAATGAAAAAATTTTTACTACGATCATGATGATGATAATAACATTGACGATAATAATTGATTAGGAGACTAAGATAGTAGAAATCTCTTGGCTGTCTATATACTAAAAGGTCAATGTTTTCAGAAGGAAAGTGGAAGTTTCTAATGGATTATATGGTTCTCAGAAATTAACTCCCATACTTTATTAATTCCAATAATAGCATTTGTAAATCACTAACAATAGATGTGCTTGTTATGTTCTTATCAGATCTTATTATAAAATGTGTTGGCTTTGTTCAAAAAACAGTAGAGGCTTTCATCTAAAATGATTGAAGTTATCAAGAAATGTACAATGTATGAGCCAGCATCTGATAGTAAAAGTAAACTCATTTTGAGGAATGAAAATTTTATCATATCTTTGGTATACAAAGGAGCAACCAACCGACTTCACTTTACTGATAATATTAGCTTTATTTAGTCTATAATGATAGGATTATAACAGTTCCTCACTCTGGCATATACATTATGAAATGTTCATTATTGATGCTTTTTCAATATTTTTATTTTTTTAAAACTTTTATTCACTTAAAATGATCAAAAATATTTTGTTTGAACCTGTGTTTGGTGAAAAAATATATTCTGAAAAATCCTTTTCCTCTACCAATCCCTCACATGAAAGAAAATACTAGATAGATTGACAATTCCAGTACAAAATGCGAATCACCAAAAGTAGAAGAAAATCCAGAACTTTGGGTAGAAAATCATGCCCTCAAAGGCAGAGGCCAAAAAGAAATTGTTCCATGGGAACCTCTTACTTCTGGAAAATGCTATATGCAAGATTAAAAGACAATAATCTAGACACAATATTTGCAACATGTATAAAAAAATGAACATCCATAATATAACATAAGGTCTCATAAACAATGGGAAAGAAGCTCACTATTTTTAAAATATCTGCAAATGCCGGAACATGGAAAGATTTGGAGGCCAGGTCATCATCAGCAGAACCACATTACGCATGTACTGATCACCTGATGCTAGTCCAAGCATTCTTCATGTGTTAGTTAATTCTGTTAATGAGACAACTGCACTGCCAATAAGTGCAGAGCTGGGATGTCAGAGACAGCCCTGTCAACCATGCAGGATCTCCGCTTCTATTGAATGTTCTTGTCCGCTCTTCCAGGGACTTTAACCTAGCTTATCCTGAATACTTTCTGAATCCATACACATTTGAGGAAATCAACAGTAGTCACAGCATAGAATATAACCAAAGAAAGGCCATTTGGAACAGAAATGAGTACAGCAATTAATGCTGGAGTCAGAACACAGATGAGTCAAGCACTCAGCTTAGGGACTGAAGATTTGAGAGCTGTTTTGTCAGTTGCCAGTATTCACAGTAAGTCGAGTACAAAAGCCTCCATGATGCTTGCCAGTTGTTGCATGAAGCACTACAGCAAGATTGTTGTGGCCAAGGAAAGTGAGCATGCCTTGTGATGTGCAAGCTTTTCTTCCAACAAAACTAGCCCACTGAGTCAACCTGTTGGAAACAAGGGTCACTCTGTCTTCTATGTTCTTGAAATGTGAGTCCCAACGCAATATTGTTTAGAGATATAGGATAACTGAGGAGAGAACTCTGAAATTTTCACTTTCTTTATAAATTTAATGTCCTTCAACTTTGGCTTTTTTTTTAACTTTTATTTAATGAATATAAATTTCCAAAGTACAGCTTATGGATTACAATGACTCCCTCCCACCCGCAACCCTCCCCTTTCCCACTCCCTCTCCCCTTCCATTCACATCAAGATTCATTTTCGTTTCTCTTTATATACAGAAGATCAGTTTAGCATACATTAAGTAAAGATTTCAACAGTTTGCTCCCACACAGAAACATAAAGTGAAAAATACTGTTTGAGTACTAGTTATAGCATTAAATCTC